GTTGCTAGGTGACAAGACGTACACCGGGGTAAGGAGGGGAGGCTAGACCGTCCAAATTCACAGCCTCTTTTTTTCAGTCTTCCCGGTCTACCAAGGACCCGGCCCACCGAGACCGGGGAGTCTGGGTCCTCCGGAGGACCCGTCCTGCCGTTTTGGACACAGCCTAAATTTTAAAAGCTAAATACACATTTTTTGTAGCTAACTGTATTTCAGCTAAGTTCTGCAAACTTGAGCTACTTATGCTAATTAAATAATTTCCAGTTACTTTTTAGCTGTTTTACTGAAAATTTCAGCTGTTTTAAATATGTTACTTCAAATGATCACTTTTATGTAATTTTAAGAATTTTTTTCTGTTTTACTTATTTTTCAAATATAACTATTTCAACTGGGTGCTAATTTCAAATTGTGGCTGCTACCTTTAGCTTATTGTATGATAATTTTAGCTATTTTATGCTACTTTAGCTATAGAGCTGCTTCTTTCTACTTTTTATGCTTTTGTTCTGCTACCTAGTGTTTTTTTATGCTTCTTACAGATGTTTTCAGCTATTTTAGCTCTTAGCTTTTAGCTGTTTTCAACTAGATTTGTGCCTCTTTTTACCATTTTTCTGCAGTTTTTTGCTTCTTTCAGCTTTTCAAAGTGAGCTTACGTTAACATTTTTCCTATTAAATATGTTCAGCTCAATTTCAGCAGCTTTCAGCTGAAGTTTTTAGCATCAAGCTATCACTAGCATTTTCTCAGGAAATGCAGTTCCTCTAGTTTCAGTTGTTTTTGTGTTTGCTGGTTCTGTTCTGCAGGAGGACCTGTCTCTGCTCTCTTCAGGGAGAACTTTGATGATCCTGGTCAGGATTTTAAACTTGTTCATCTCTCTGCTCCAGATGATCCTCTGATGAAGTTAAATTAAAAAAAGCTAAAATAATCTCAGCACTGGAGTCGTTCTGACCTGGTTCTTGCTGTGGGTCACGGTCAGGTTGAATCCGAGCAGTGACACGATGACTTCCTGATGTCTCAGGTCCTTGAAGGGTCGCCTGCTGTGATTGGCTGAGACGTGGTACTGCAGATCTCTCACAGACAGAGTCTGAAACAAACCATTAAATACATATAAGCTCCACCCTCCTCCACCTGCTCCCTACCCTCCCTGCAGATCCCAGCGGTGTTAAAGTGAGCCATGATCAGTTGTAACATTAGACTTTATTTGATAAACATTTATTTTAACTGTAAAATAAAGACTGTAAAAATACTGTAGGCTGTTCAGTTTTGTAAATTTTTAAAAATATATTTTAACACGGACACAGACATTTTATTTACACACAAAGCATTCTGGGTAAATGATGACGTGGATAGGTCCTCGGTGCGAGGCTGCTAGCGAGCTATATCCAGCCTGAAGGTTAATCT